GTTTTATTTGTTTATAATTCGAATTATGATTTTCCTTGCAGACACATCGCTTTATACACTTTTAAAGTAGCTTTCGATTCCGATGAAATTATGCGAAACTGTTTGGAATAATACCTCGTGATTATTAGAGACACTGCGCAAAGAATGCAGTCGTGGTGAGATATTTTTCAGTATTTCATTATTTAACGACACAAACTTCTACGAGAAATAAAAATGTTAAGATAAACGATTTGACATGACTCTGTAAAGTAGAGCAATTTGCTTCAATCTTAGCACTCGTAGTTGCTATTTTAAGAATGAACATTATATTAAATTTGTCTGATCATTAAGTTACATTACTGTTTTTTATTTGCTCCGTTATGCCTTGAATAGCTCACGCCAAATATAACACCATTTCAAATATAAAATAAAGGACTCTATTCACTTCAAGTATAATAAGTATTCAGACCTGGCTATATATCGAGACGATGATGACGATACTGATTATACAAAACTCCTTTGTTTAATATGTGAGGTTTTAGCAAAAATAAAATACTTACAGTGTGTGATACATAATTATGAAGAATATGAACTTAATGAAATTTACAACTCTTTCAAGAGTTGGCCATAGAATTATCTAACCGTTGACAAATTTTATGAAAATATTTCATTGGATATAGCTTTATACCCGTTAACATAATTTATCAAAGAAAACTCCCAAAATAAACTTTTACTTTAGTATCAGAATTAGCCCATTGACTTTAATGAAACTGCAAATATGCCAGAAACTAATTAATGAGAAATGTTTTATTATTGGTTAATACATTACTGATAATGGACATTATTCGTGTCCATTTTTATGAGTACTTTAAAATAATTAGGTTAATGTATTTTTGATTTGCGATGTTCTTTGAGCAGCCAGAACTGGCTGTATACAGGATATGTGTTCTGAAAATAAAATATCACTTTGCTTTGATAGCTCAAAAGAACTTTGATGCCATTAGCATTTGAAAGACACATTTCATGTTATAAAACATTAACTTATAATGCTACTCATACAGACCCATCTACGAGTACTAATGCAAACGAAACAAGTTGGTTTTCTTTAGAGTCAGTCGTTAATATACAAAACTTATTTATAATCATCGACTTTTGTTGATTTTGTTGAGTCAAAACATAGCATATTGTAACAATATTGCTTATTCAGGAAAGCAAAATTTTGATCTTATGAATCCAGATCATTCTCAACGTACATGTGATTCACTAAGACAAAAATGAACTGCATTATGAGCTGAAATCATGCGATTCTAATTTCAGAACATACATCATTTTTTGCTGGTAAATAAGATCTCGCGATATAATAATCCGTAAAATATGAAAGTGAAGATCTACAAGGGAGTGCAACATTAAAACATACACTATTAGCAACAATTAACCGCCACAGAAACACACAAAACATTCGGCATACAATAGACTAAGAGCACCAGATCATGTATATAATCAACCAAGGAGTTTTCATACGCCTCGTAACCATGAGGTTATGTAAAATAGTTTGATTGCACCAATAAATTCCTTTCTATGAACACATTTTGCAATAATCATTAATATGCTCATTATCCCGTCCTTTAAAATATTGTAAAAAACCTTATCATTATCTTTTATGTACTTAAATTGATTGAGTAGTGTTGCATTTATTCAAGCAATTTGGTTGAAATCGGGTGTGCCACAATTGTTTACATGGAACGATATAAAAATAAGTTTATAGAATTTTAAATGAAAATCATTATAGTTTGTTTCAATATCAAGCACTTATTGTTAACATCTCTGTAGCATAGCTATCAATGGCTTATTTCAGATAGTTCAACATTTTAATTGTTATGTGACATGGATGGAAATAAACAAATATAAAGATGAAATGAAGTAAAATCTTTGATCTTGTATCCGCTAATTACAAGGACATTAAAGTAGGTTTGTGATTCAATGATACATAATATTGGATTTTATTGTACAGTACAGTCCACGAACTGGCTCAATCAATCTCAGCCTGTAACATCAAACTGAGCATGTAACATTTTCAATATTGTCTTTTGGGGCGTTTTGCAGTGATTCCTTTTTTGTATTAAATAACAAACTGAACATCATGGCCTGTGAGTATTTGATACATGATAAAAAAGATGCTTTTCAAAGAGCAAAATAAATCTGCTTATATCGGATATAAAGCATTGAAATAACTTAAACTGGAATACTTATTACATTAAAATATACATTAAATGTTATTTCTATAATAATGATAGTATAGTAAGCTGATCAGTAGTAAAAATGTTATTTTTAACAAAAACATATTCCTATGACCATGATGTCAGTGATCTATATTGGTCAGAGACTGTCCGAAATGATTAAATCTCATCATATATTTATAACTACCCTCAAACTACGTGGAAAAATTGTTTCCTTGACACTTTTTCATCAGTGACCAGCTGTTTCTTTGTAAAAGGAATAGAAACACAAATTGTGTGTGTAAACTGGTTAACCGAAAATGTTAAATATCCACTTTCTGACAGAGCTTTATTCGTCTAAACGGTGCATCACTTTTTCAATCGGTGCATGATGTTGACAAGTAAAGCCCTTAGGAACTTTATTTGTTTGAACTTTACGCTTTAAGCACTCAGACAGCTATGCGTTAAAGCGCAACATATAAAGCTCTCCGGAGAGTAAAGCCCTTAGGAGCTTTATTTGTTTGAACTTTACGCTTTAAGCTCTCAGAGAGCTATGCGTTAAAGCGCAACATATAAAGCTCTCCGGAGTGAGCTATACTCGGCGAGTGTTTTATGCAGTGTAAAATAGCTTTGAAGATATTCATACGAAGATACTATAAAATCTCTCAAAACATCATCGTCGATACTTATATATCACGAACTCTAGAGCCACACACACATGCACACACACAAATGATATGTAATATGTATGCAGAGACCTTGCATGGACTTTAAATTTACCCTTTAATTATTTATTGCAACATAACTTGTCAATTCTCTCCTATCTACAACATCAAAACCCCATTATCTTCCTTCATAATAAAAGTATTATACAATTTAGAAAATTTCTCAAATAGAAAAATATTAATATTTTATAAAGCTCGTTTTCTAGTCGAATTATTTGTTTCGTGGTACAAGGAAAATTCTAGATAGTTATATAGGTAACATATTGTCGTAAATTAACGTATAGGGTATTTGGGTTGCAAACGTGTATTGACTATACGATGGTTTATTTTTTATAAATTGACATTATTGAGATTAGCATCGGGATTTTGTTATAGATATATGTAGCGAAGTAGTGACATAGAAAAGTTGCAAAATCGTAATTTTACAAATTCCTTTTGTCTTTGATGATATAGTACATAAATGAAACCCCATAAAAGCCGACGCAATAACACGTAGCTTCATGTCAATTCGGCCAAGAATTCAAACTCCAAACATTAAAAGAATATCCAAATACCTTTCCCGCTGCATTAGTTTTGTATTTGTAATTATAGCCTAATTCAAATTGCTCCTGTTTAGAAACAAGTCATTAAACCTCTGCGACATCCAAGCGTACAAAACATATTTTACGTTCTTCCTTATTGGTAAAGAACTACTATAACTGTCGTAATATATTATTAGAACTATATTGAGAAAGTTTCAGTAAAATATAACATTGTTATTTGTTAAATAGGGCAGTTGTGTACCATATACTAAGTTAATAACATATCTTAATGTTCCCTTACCGGTTTAGTATGTTTAGCTTTGATTAAACACATGCGCCTGCAGCATTTCCAAACAATTTAGAAAAATACAAACAAGTACAATATCGATTAAAATAGTCCAATAGGCTTAAACTTTGCTGAGCTCTCACTTTTATGCAAACAGTATTTTAGAGTTTGCCACAATTAGGTTGCAGACATTTTTGCTTTTGTAAGATAAGAACTGAGTCGTTATGAAACATTTTATATAAACAAATGAAGCTATTTCTGTTTTTTAATAAAATATATAAACTTCAGTTTCAAATATTTTTTTTCTTTTCGAAAACTCTAGTACATCGAAAGTTTTAGAGATTTTTAAATCGGTACATATATCAATTGAACTCTCAAAGTCTCAAAATTTGAATTTGGATTTGAATAAAATTGTATAATCATTTTACCAAGGAATTATAAATAAGTCATAAATACATTCACGCATATTTCGTTGATGTATAAAGTTCCCGCAATAAGTGTTTGGATATTTCCATAAAGAGTTCTTATATAGTCGCGTCGCACAAAGTCATGAATGAAAAGAAAGTATTAATACAGCGAGTGTAAGGAACAGCTTTCAGATTTTTTATAACTGAGAAAAATTGAAAAGAAAAACCAAAACATGAAAATTGTAGTTTTCCATTTAGAGTCACGCGTGATTCACATGTCTCATAATTTTCATTTTCTTGTCACACATAATAATTTTAAAAAGGTGCGTGTGCCTAGAAGGGGGTGTGTTAAACATTTGAGATTTCAAGATCTTTCAAGAGAAAACGTGAGAAAATAAAACAATATCTGAATTATTCTTTTTATCTGAGATTACCTTTTCTCTTACATGCAAATGCCAATTCATGTAAGTGATTTGACAGAAGCTTATAATAATGCAAGACTGACCTGACCTTTGATAAGTTTGTATAATATTTAAAGTCATCAGAAATCACCAAAAAAGCCTTTTTCAACCAAAGGTCTATTTTATTGCTTTACAGTCAAAAAACGTATAATGTATGTTCTGAATTCATAGATATACATGTTTAACTTAATTTTGACAGAGAAACGTCGACAAAAAATAAATATATACGAGTAGAATACTGTACATGTTAATAATTTATCTGCAATGTCACAGCTAAAGTCTTAACTCTAAATAATATTGTAACTAACTCTTTTTATATATATATTGTGAATCGTAATTATGAAACATTGATTCTGTGCTAATTAACAGAAAAAGCTTATTATTCAGCTTATAAAGTTTACAATAAAATATGTCTAACGAATTCTATTTTTTATATAATAAAAGAAACCACAAATTGTCGCAAGTTAATAAACATACCTTCATTAGACAGTAGCCCTTTAACATCTGTATGGAGATTAAATGCTCATTATTTCAGCTGCCTGAAAAAAATGAAAACATTGTAAGCTTTAAGAGTCTTTATCTTTTAATTTGTTCAAATATGGAACTTGTAGAAACTTATAGATGTCAAATACATAGACACAAAGTTCTGATTTGAAACACAATGTAATTCATGCTTGTTACAATGACTCAAAACGAACTACTTTTAGTTATTATAGAAGACAGAAGTAGACTTCTTATGTATGATGTACAAACAATATAAATGATTGATTTATTACTATTTATTACTATTCGACTTTAATTTTGAAAGTACTGCAATAGATGGCCAAGTTTACTTGATATAATTACTATCCCTTTATTTATTACTGATATCTTAGTTTCCATTTTCGTAATACTAATACTATACGATCACTTCAGAAACCCTATACAATCTCTTTTCTTGTTTAAAGGTAGGTAATTATTTACCCTGCTAAACACATAAGTATTTGGATTTATTCAGCACTTTTAAAATTTGCCAACACAAAGTTGTCTCATTCTGTTAATTGATATTATTACACACCCGTGCCGATTTTGGGACTCCGTAAAAACGGCATTGCACGGCCGTGCATACAATTTGACGTGACGTCATTAGCGTTATACAAACATAGTGTAAAGACGTGCTAAATGTTAGCGTTATACTATAGGCGCGTCAATGAAAAATGATCCTTTTTTCACTTTTAGCAGTCTTTGTTTTGGGTATGTGATAAATAGAATATTAAATTCATATAAGTTCATTACTGAATTTATTGAACTCATTGAATAAAGTAATAGTATGCTTGCCAGAGGATCGCATAATATAATTTTATTCAACTCGTGCAATAAATTCAGTATCCTCTATTTAACAAGTATTTTGTTAATGGACACGTTTATGACGTAACTTTATGACGTCAAACTTGAACAAACACTTAGACATGAAGGTTTGACGTCATAAAAGACGAGAAGCGCTCTGACAACCATTGCGGTAAGCCGTTGTTTTTATTTCCGATCGAGTTTTTCCGATTGTTTTATATTACCCCAACTTATTCGTTTTATATTTTGTAAACTATGAACTTGTGGTATTTAATACAATTCATAAAAGTAACATTTGCTCTCGTTTACTTTCGTTTCTTTTGGTAAGTTACACAAATGATCCTGTGATATCTAACCGAGACTCCCCGTCCCTTGTTTTCAGTACAGTAACTTCGGATATGAAAGTCATATTAACGATTAAGAGCATTTGTGTTTAAGACAAATTCCTGACATGTATTGAAAGAAAAATAGTAACATGTGTACTTTAGGCTTACAGCAGGTGTCAAGTGCTGTGTGGCAGCTGTAAAAAGTTGCCCCGTACTTCATTTCAGTGTTGTTATATTTCTCTGGTCCTTCGGGATCATTGATGCCAGCACTATTAAGTGTTGAGAATTGAGTACCGCTCAAGCCGGTGCTAGGGGGCGTAAGGGATGTTGCACGTTTTCATTATCCCTCATGTCAATCAAATCAATCAAACCGAGTCTGCAATTCTCTTGTAATTTTGCTGTGATTAATGCTTCCGAGGGATCACTTTGTTTCCAGATTATTTTTTTACTTGAGACACAGGAGCTTGAAATTCTATCAATAATCGCTCTAAAGTCCGATTACCTATATATAATTTTTTTATACATATGTATGGATTTTTAATCGAAATTTAGAGCGATTATTGATAGAATTTCAAGCTGTTGTGCTTGAGAAGTTTTCTTTTTCTTTTATTCCTTAAGCAAGTGATGATATCTACTAGTCATAAACATACAATAAGCTGTGTTTCATTTAGAAAACAAAACACTAACCCATTTATACGGTTATGATCTGTGAAATCTGATCCTTCTGTTTCCAGAATATTCTTTGCATGGTTTTTGACAAAATAACAATGATATCATATGTCTGTCCACCATATCTGTCACGTTTCACTGATTAAAATTGTTAAATAATCCTTTGTTGCATGCTTAAATCGACTGCATGTTCCAGTTTGACACATAGTAATTTACATTGCAATTTCTTCCATTGAAAACTTTTTGACTATTCAACAAAAAGATATTTTATACGCGAAAAGCATTCCAGGTTGAAAATAACTAAATTTTATGGGTGTCATAGTTGCAGAGAAGATGGTGATGTCCTACAGTGGTGAACGTCGAAAATAAGAATGCATCGAGAAAGAAATGGCGGCCACTTTATTTCATTTTATTTAGAAATAGACCACGTGACCAGATTTTATATTGTTTAAAAGTACTGTTACCTATGTAACAGTACAAAATTATTTGTCTTATGGTACACTTGCATTAACAGTAAAAATAACCACAAGAGGCCTTTGGGAAATTCACAGTACAAAAAAGTGAGGGGTAATGAAAACAAAACACCTATTTTCAACCAGAGATAACAGGATTAAATTGAAGTTCAAATTTTGATTTAATTCAATTTAAATTTTATTGGTCTATAAACATATACATCAAATCAATGAATGTTCTTTTTTAACAATTTATTTGTTTATAAGTATTTTATTTACAACATATTTTAGATGAACAGACGGAGTCATGTAATATAAAAACGAGATATGTTCGTTTTTTCGACGTTAGTATATCTAACTACAACTGTATCAACGTTACAATTTATTGCTTTGTAATTGTAAAACGAAGACACAAATTAAATGCTGACTTGAAAAGAGTTAACCTTAAAAAGTATGTTATTTGATATTTCAACATTATTTTAGCTATAGGTAGGATTGTCACTCGTTCATGATATCGACATTTCAATTACTATCAAATTTAAATCACATTTGGAGAATAAATGAACAAAACCATTCGCAAAAAAGGCCTTAGGAACTGCAAACACTATATCTTTAGCTGTATAACATTACGGCAAATCATTGGTTGTGAAATAAAAATGTCAAACATTTTGAATATCAACAAAATATAATTATTTTGTTATTTTAAGTATTGTTTCAAAAATGTTCAGCGTTGAATTTTACATTTTTTAATATCCGAGTATATATACATACATATAATAATTTCAGATGTCTTTAACTAAGTAAAATAAGTTAATTGCGAAGTTTTATTTTAGAAAAATAAAAACGAGAGCAAAAGAGCAAAAAAAATTTTTTAAAAATAAACATTCAAATACATTGTTTTCTATTTATATGGCATACATTTCTCATTTCTCATTTTTTATGTTAAATTAAAGCTTAACATTTTTTACGTAAGACATTAGATATATTGATATTGTACCAACTACAACACTAATTAATGAAAAGATCAATGATACATTCATAAGACTGAATAAAACTAGGAAGGTTTAACTGAAATGGAATGCCAATAATGTTTAAAACCTCGGCATAATATAACTATCATGTTAGCATACCTCTTTAGATAAAAAACAATATAATCCATTATACCGACAATATAAACAAAAGCGGAAATATGTAATACGATTCCTTCAAAATCGTTAAGAATATGATTTTTTCAAAACATAATAGTTTAAAAAACACAATAAGTGTTTTTTTGTTTAGGGGTTCATTTAAAGCCAAATTATAAAGAAAAAACTACACTTACTTTTAATCAGATGCTGGATTGTGGATTGTGAAAGTTTTATTTTCTTATTCATTATCCTTTTCTTACTTTCAATATTTAAAGGAAGAAAAACGTTGACTAACTTTGCAAAGTATAAGAGGAATGTCAAAAAAAATAAAGAAATGGCTTAAATTGTAATTTTGTAACTTTATATCTTAAGCGGTACACTTTTTCTAATTTATTATTCTGTTAAGTAAGTCAAGTAGAACCATAATTATACAAAACTCGTTCAACACAATAATTTATGAATCATTACATTTAAAGGTTGTCGTTAAAATATGGATTCCATTCAATTCAATATATATTTTTCATAAACATTTCAAAACTAATTTATATAATACTATTTGATCTTAAATTTAAGAATGTTATTATATCTTATACTTGAATTTTTACATAACGGCATTGTGTACTTTTATTTTACGTCCTTTTTATTTGCGATGTTCGATTAAATGCACGTTATAATCCCCGTTTACCATTTAGTTAAGGACTTAAGGACTTTAAGTATGTCTTACATCCGACATCGTTGATGCAAAACTACTGTCATTAAACATGATCGCCATCAGCTTATTAACATCAAAGTTAAATAGAATCAAACTTCATTATAAAAAAGTTTTTTATGTTTCTTTTTATTTTCAATTACACTAATTGCAATTTCAGATAAAGCCTATGAACAACACATTTTGTACTTCTGACTGATTGTAATAGCACACGTGTTGATACTAATGGCAACTAGGCTAATTCATTTCTGATTGATCTAGTCTGTGAGGAATCCAACATTTGTAAGTGACTTTTCAGATGACATCTAATAATTATTATTGTTTTTTTCTTGACCAATATCAACACAGTATTGAAGTAGAATTTTGTTTAAAATTTATATTCTTATTTCTCATCCGAATATAAATCATTTCGTTTGGTTTAAATAGAAACGGTCTAAGTGACAAGTTATTTACATTTTTTTAAAAAATCACATCTCTCAAAGAGACAATGTCACGCTAGGTTACTTTACTGATCATGGGAAAAATCTAATGACGAACAAAAACACACACACAAAAAAACGAATCAACAAGTATATTCTAATAAAACGCACACCATAGATTATGTTTTCAGTATTTCTATGAAACGCCTAATAAGATTGTTTTCAAGACATATATGAAATGTCAGATATTTTTGAAAACTTTCGATGTGATTTACGTTAATGGCACTGATCTATTTTGTCGTGTGTATACATTGATATTTTTGTACCTAGACAAAATATGCAAAATATCACATTCAATTATACGAGCCGGGAGCTTCAATACTCTATACTAATAAAACAGTATCCTCTTTTTCAAAATGACTCAAGCTCATTTGATGATAACAGAATTTTCAAAGTAACTCGTTGGAATCCTTACCTACAAAAGTTTTATTTTAACTCAATTATGACAATT